TCTTTTCCCGATCCGCCCGACCGGATCGTAAGAGATCTTAACGCTGACGTCCGTGATGAGCATCCGCGTCTCCAGCGGCACCAAAGACGTGGCTGCAACAGGGGGACGCACAGAGACACCTCTCCCCCCCCGCCCTCAACGCCAGGCCCTGCAGGGCCCGTCAGAGCTGCTCCTCTGAAGGGGAAATAAACACCCTCCCCCCACAAGCAGAGCGAGCCCAAGAGACGACGCAGGGAACACACCAGCTCCCCTCACCCCCACCCGCCCCGGGCGCGGGACGCTCACCTGAGGACCAGGCCGCGAGGCCCGGCCGCCCCCAGGCTCGGCCGCAGCAGCACTCGGGCCGCCATCTTCCCCCGGCCTCAGCCCCGCCCCCCGCTTCCGGGCGGCAGAGTGGGGAGCCCCGCTCCCGCCCTGGAGTTCTCCCCGCCCCCCGCTTCCGGGCGGCCGCAGGGGGAGCTCCTCCCCCCGGCCCTGGCCCCGCCCCCCAGGCTGGAGGCACACGAGGTCGGCAGCCAGGCTCGGTGGCGCAAAAGGACTAAGAAAAAAACAGCCCCGCAGCAATGCAGCATCAACTCTGTGCAAACGCCAGAGGTTTCATCTCCCTGCACGGAAGACTGCAGGAGCAGGGAGCTAGGGGCTGTCGGTCTCCCACGGATCAGACCCGGGAAAGAGTCACAAACAAATGAAGGGCACTGCCAGGCATCAGCAGGAAGACTGGTGTCGCGTCTTTGCTCGTGTGAACGTCTGTGTACGCCTGCTTCCATTCGGGCTGGGAAGGAGCAACTTGGCAGGAGTCTGGGAAATACGTCTACGTCAAAACCCCACGCAACATGTGTGTAAAGAGATAAGCTTCAATGCTTTTCCAGTTAAAAACAAGGGTGTAATGCTTTCTTCCTTCACCTCTTGCAGTACCACTAGGGCTTCAATTGAACTAGACCCTGTGCAGTGTGAAGTAGCATTTCCTCTTAAAATAACCTTAAAAGAGAGACTAAAATTTTTCGGAAGACTGTGTTTTTTTAACTAAGTTTTCTTTTTAAGGGCAGAACTGTAAAAACACACAGAAACCTACGTGAGAAATGACTACCTTGAAGTAATAGCTGGATTTTAGGATTATATTATAAACAGCACCACATAGTCTCCAGTAGGTGCGTCTACACAAGGCGCTTAATGCCCGTTAGACTAATTCTACTGTACACTAGCGTGGCTGGTAAAATCCACGTTAATGCGCAGATTAGTGCAATACGCATTAAGCATCACCTAAAAAGCGTTCATCTGCACTAACGCGCAGTTGCACTGATTATGGTGCATTGTTAGTACCTGTTATTGCATAATTATGGCACATGAATGAACGTGTAGACAGTAGGTAACAATTATACAAAAATTAGTTCTCGTAAAGATGTGTTTTGGAAACACTAATGGTAAGATATGAATACACAAGTCTCTCCCCATGACCGTTCTTTTCTTTAGTTTATCAGCCAACAGGAACTCCAGTAAAAGATCTATTTGCTGGGTATTTTTCCAGACCAGGGAAAAGACCTCCAAATAGCAAGGATGTCAACTGACCTTGTTCTGACGGAATCTGTGCTACTTAGTAAAGTACAGACAGAAAATACAGAAAGACAAATTCACTAGTGAATAAAAATTATACCAACATCAGATCAGAACAATATGTAGCACTGTGAAAATTTTGCTAAGATAACTATTCTGTAGCTGTGCTCACTGATATTTAAGTGAGGCAAAGAGTTATTTTCATCACCTAATGCCCAATGGTATGGAAAAATTTGACTTGCTATGAGTTTAATTTTTGTTCACAGCAACCCAAGTCACTTAACTTTTACTTTAAATGTGAAGTAAAGAGTTTCACTTTCCTGGGTGCATAATGATTACATATTACTGTAAACTGCGTGAAGACACATCCAGAAACATGCATGCAGTGTCCTTCAGTATCGGTGAAATGCAAAAGCATGGGCTGCATCTTTGGGCGTCACTGATAAGTATTACGGTTCTTTTTTTTTTATGAAAAATAGCTTGCCTCAGATCGTTTGTGGGTTACTATTGTATTTAGATCTGAACAGAATGAACCACCAAGCTAAATCTCCAACAGCCTGAAGTCAGAGCTCTGCAGATCATTTGATTTTCTGGTTTGTCTGCTGGACTGAAAAAAATCACTACAAAAATAATTTTGGGTGAACCCCAAACATTTTTCAGTTTTCTGGGGGCAAATAAAAACAATCACTTCCTGTCAAAAATGTTTTGTTTCACTTTAACTATAAATTGTTTTGTTTGGATTTCAGGCATTTTTAATAAAGACAAAGGACACTAAAACAAAGGGCTAGACCTACAAAGGCATAATCCCTTTTTGGCTACAGAACAGCTAGTGCAGAGCACTGGGCACACTGCAACCTTGGGAGACAAAGCTTTTAATTACAGAGCAAGCCCTAGTAGGGCAGGAATGAAGAACTAATGGGAAGGCGTATAAATTACAGGGCAGCTTTTAAACTCCATAGAGTAAGGCTGAAGTAGGCACAAGTGACATGATACTCCTATTTAAGCTGCAAATCAAAATCTATGGCAGGATATACACAGGAAAATCTATGCACCTGTATGGAGGAAGATTCCTTTTCTGGTATGTTCCTCCTACGGCATCAACATAGGACCAACACATGCAGCCTGCAAGCCTTACGTCTAGGTTCTGGAAGAGAGCGTCCCTGCGCTTTCAGCATAGAAACTGCTATAAATCACAGCAGCAGAGCCCTACTGCCCTGCTCTATCACATGCCAAGGGGTGCTCAGGTCTCCAGGCAGCCTGGAATTCCAGCAGCACAAAGTCAGCTTTAATCTCTAAATCGCCACAGACTGAACTTTCTGTATTACAGCTTTCAGAGTATCAATCCCTGCATCTCTTAGCAGGATTTGGCACCTTAATTAGCTTTTCTTATTAGAAGGTTAAGACTCTAAGCATCTCTAATTTCATTTGCAGCACTGCATTCACAACATTTTCTTGTGTGTGTGTACTTTGTAACTTGTCTGTCAGCAGCAGGATACTCACTGGCAGCTTAAAGGATACTCACTTGCAGTTTATCTGTGTTAAATACATATCCACTTTCCTTTGTTTTTGGAAGTTAGCTGAATTATAAAGAATTCATTTTTCTTTGAAATGTGGCTTTTACCGTACTGTAACAAATCTTCATTGACTTCAACCAGTGCTGAGTTGGACTTAGCACAAAGTTACAATGAAACAGTGGCATAGCTTGGCAAACTCTCTATGGGATCCTTTCCACAAGTCTAATGATAAAGCAGCCAACTTCAGCATTGTGAACCAGAAAAAATACGCGGTTTAAATGTAGACGATTGTTACTTATTTTATAAGTGGATTTCTGAAGGTATAACACAGGTGTAGTGACATAACTGGCATTACTTCTTTTAAAGGGAAAAAGGACACACACATGGCTAGCTTTACGCTTTCTACACTTCCTTTTAAAAGCTTTAAAAATATTCCTGTAAACATATGCAGGCAAACTACAACAGATCCAGTTCCAGCCTTCAGACAAACATCAAGAAAACAAGGAAGAACCATTCTGAATGACCAAGATGGGGACTTAGCCATTCCTTCTGGCGCTGCGAGGGAATAGGCCAGAGCAGAACATAATTGTCGCTTACATTCTCCTTCTGTTATTTCTAAGTTGATAAAATTTGGTGAGTTTATCAAAATTTTTGGTTGGAAGTGGCTATTTATTATTTATTGTCACTAAGTTCAGAGAAAGGTTTTCATACTAAGGCAGTGGGGCACAAATCATCCCTAAGATAAGGGGATGGGGTTCTTATCCTTTATTTTTCTGTTGAGCTAACATTTAGTTCTTGTAGCTTTTCACTGAGATAGGTGGCATCCAACTCTGTCAAACTATCTGAGTCTGACAGACTTTCCAAGAACTTGGTTCCTGCACAGGCTTTTCCTGTCACTGGGTCTATTACATTTCCAACCTTGAAAACAATCTCAGATAGCTCATGTTTCACATGCTTGCTCCTCCGCTCAGGCAACGCTTTTAGAAGAACAATGTCTCCAACAGTACACTGCTGCAGTGGATCGTGAGCAAAATACGTTTTCCTCCTGTTAAAAAACTGTTGGGAGAAGATAGAAAGAAACAAGAATTTAAAAAGGACCCATAAAATGATATTTGACGACTAAAAGAGTCAAGTTTCAATACTGTTATTACAACAGCTACACTCAATCAGCTGACTTTTTGCTTTTTGAAAAGCTCTAATGTGGACTATTTTCCCCACAGTCTCTTACCCTTCCCTATCTCAAACTTGTTGTAGCCTCCCCAGGTGGGCTCTCTATTACTACTAGGTATCCCGGCCAATTGAAGAAAGGAGAGAGAAAAAGAGCAAAATCCCCAAAAACCCATTGATAGACATTTGCATCTCTGGGCATGTGGGTGTGTACTAGGCAAAGGCAACACACACTCTTCTTCACCCAAGAAAAGTACTGCCCTGTACACTCTTACCATTCCTGAATCTCTAACCTATCCACCTTCACTATCAACTCTGCCTTTCCAACTCAGACTTTCCCTCACTCTCCCCAGTACTAGGGTGCAGCATCTTCAGCCAAAAAAAATGTCATGGCTCTTCCAAGCCAAATAATAATTTGTGTAGACTGTAGAACAGAGAAGTTCAGGAAATGCCATATCCTACTCTTTCCAGCACTCTCAAGCCCTTACTGCTGTGGTATTCATATCGTACTAAGATCTCCCACGAGATGTTTTCAGTTCAATCAATCCTTCCTTACATACAAGAACTTAGCCAAGTTTATTGCTACAGAAACAAGTTTTACAACTTTCAAAATGGAACGAGCCCCAAACATCAGTAATAATTTTTAAAAACAAAAAGGATTTTTAAATCAAAAAGTATGAAACAGCAGATGCCCATATTCCCAGCTCTAATAAAACAAGATTCATTACAAACAAACAAACAAAAAAAATCAGGAAACATATTTAGTAGTTAACCTGGCATGAAAAATACTATATTCATATACCAATTTTCTTCCTTTGCTATCATTATCAAAAGCCCTAAAGTGGTTCACAAAGGTAATAGTTTATAATGAAATCGTAATATATTAGAGAATCAAACTGCTACAAGTTTCTTTCAAAGCAAGTACAAGTAAGTTGTTGACCAGCCTTTACCTTCAGCAGATAAGGATCTAGCACAAGCCTCGTCACTCTGACTTTGGCAGTTTTATGCATTTTGGTTCCTATTACTTTCCCTACTATCCATTTCGCATGCACAGTTCCACGTACCACCGACATAGTTTAGCTGTGCTCATCCAGTGCCTGGCAAACAAGAAAACAAATGCATTATTTTAACAGGAAAATTAGGTGGTTTC